GATTATTTAGTTTCCTTAGGATACATGCTATGCCCTTTCTGCGTTTTCCCCTAATGGATCTGGAATGTTATGCCCAGAAGTCGGGGTAAGAAGACCAAAGAAAAGCATAACTTTTTTTTTTTAATTGTCTCTGACGACTGCCTGCCTGCTACAGAGCCTTGAGAACCACCGTCTACTAGCAAAAGCGCTGCTCAGGAAAAGCCACCCCTATTCATCTCCTGAACATGGCCTTTTCAGCTTTTTAGGCCTGAGAGAAAGCTGTGATCCTGGAAGGTGTAAGTGCCTGACAGCTCCAAAGCATCAGTGTCACAAAAGCTGCTCAGATGGTATGAGGAAGTTTGCAGCCAGCTAGGAATAGTTATTTCAGAAAAAGAAGAGTCTAAGAGAGCTTTTCTCCCTCAGGCCAACACATCCATCAAACTGCCACTATTGTGTATAGTGTCTGTGCTATTGCAGTTATTTTTGTGACACATGCTTGAGTCAGGGTCCTCAGAAAGGATCTCCACAATTAACGCCACGTGTATGGGTAAAGCTCCTCAGCTTGAGCCCCCTCATTCCTAATTTTATCCCTTGGGGTTACCTCTATCCCTGTGAAAGTTACCAATGTGCAAACATTTTCAGCTGATATTTTGACTTAATGGCTCTTGGAGAGTTTGGTGAGACTCAGACCAGAGCTGTCTTCTCTCTCTGCTTAATTTTATATCTCTTCTGTTTGCTTTGTGGGTCTTTTCACTTCATCATTTGTGTCTACCTGACAAGTCATACAACAAACACCATGCACAGGTCTGTAATGGGCTAGTACTGACAATACCACTCTACTTTCCAATTTACAAATTCAAGCAAAGTAGCTTTAATTGTTAAGAACATGGGGAAATCACCTGCTCCCTGTCCTTTGCATGTGCAAGTCACCCCTTCCTCTGGGTTGTGAGGAGAGTACCGTTTGTTAGAATGGTAATGCATTATCCTTCTTCATTCCTTTCAGTTATCCACTTAAGGCTCTTTGGCTTTCCAGTGCTTCTACCTTCCTTTCCTTCTCCATGCAAATCAATGCATGCAAATCATTGCATTATCAATGAACATCTGTCCAGACCTCAAAGGAATGCAATTTCCTGGGCTCAGGAAAAAATCCAGCGTCTAGTCTCATAAATCTTATGAATGCTCTGCGCCTGTTCCAACTCTTAGCCAAGTTTGGCAAAAGAGTCATTTCATCTAGCACTCACGTAGTAAAACACATTCCTTTTATGACCTCCTAGCCAGCTGTTCAGGCTAAGTCATTGTACCTGTGGTCACGTCTCAGCTGCTTTCCTGTTATTCCCTTTGCAGAATGGTGCAAAATTCTCATGATGAGGTGGCATGCCTGGAAGACAGAGCCTCTTGCTACAACACGTAAGTAGGGAGTGATCTCTTTGTGGGTCAATGCAAGCACGGATCACAGCGTTAAGGAGGTTCTAGCTGGAAGGTGACTTAGTATAATGGGTCAGAAATGTAATTTTTCTGGGAAGTAGATGAGTATCTATGCCCTCTAAGGACAGCATCTCCTAGCTGGGGTCCTGAGTTCTCCATTGCAAGATTCTATGCAAGATAAGGAAATCAGGAAAGCGTTTTCTTTTGCAAAATTTTTATTCATATATTTTACGTTTTCATTGAGGAAGTGTAAAAACTGAAAGCTTCCTGTTTAAACATTTTTTTCATTCTTTTCATGCCTCTGAAAGTGAAAGTGTCAAGTCATGTACCTCCAAACAGATCTTCCTTTTCTTTTTTTTCCCTGTTGAGTTCTGGTTTCTCAAAAGCCACTTGTCATTCAAAAATGTTTCACTGAAACAACAGGTGCTTTGATGAGCTGCTTAGATCTTGCAGCACTCTGCTTGACTGGCAATTCTGCAGCACCTTCAGACAGTTCTAACTTCTGTAGGCTAGGGACAGCACATACCTACGTTCACGTTTGGGTAATAGCCACAGAATCTCTGACCAAAGCACTATGCTCTTCTGCTGCTGCCTCCAGGGCACCCAGAAACCTGAGCTTCTGTTGTTTATCCCTCCTTTGTCCATAGTGCTTCTGTTTTATTCTCCATTTCAGCCTGTTTCACTCTGCTAGGTTTTCTGAATTCTGCCTTTCTTTCTTTCCTCGTAAGAAGAAGGCCGACTTCAATTTGATCACTCGTTGTTCACAAAGTTGGTAAAATGAGTTTTGCATCTGTTATTGTAATATATAGGACTAGATTATTGTGATGAAGCAGGTTGAAAGGAAAGACATTATCAGCTCTCAGGCTTTAGTCTAAGTTAGCAGGTTCTCAGACTGCAATGTGCTTGAGTTAAACCTGATGCGGACTCCGGTCTTCTTCATGAGTCCACTGCTGTCTGGACTGCTGCTGGCAACCTGAATTCATTTCTGGGAGAAGAATATACCAGGGGAGGAAGAGGATGGTGGTAGACATTTTAAACTTGCTGCATTCCTGTGATGGAGAGAACGTCTGAGAAAGATTTAAAAGTGGTATTTGGTTCAGGACAGAGGAGCTCACTCAGTGCTTATGGAAGGAGATTTTAAGCCCCCCTTGGGAAATACAGGAGAAGAGGCAGGGCCAGTGCAAGCTGTTGCAGAGGTGGATTTTATCTGAAAAGAAAATATCTGTATGTCTGAAGCTGGGCTTTCAGAACAGGAAGATGCAAATACTGCCATGGTAAGGGAAATAGGATACTTTCTTACCTACATCACTAACATGTGACTGTGTATTTCCATATGTGGATTTAGTTTGATTGCCTGAGAGAGAGGATGTGTCCTTTCCAGCTACGGATGCCCAGTGTACCCTTGGCCTACCACCACTGTACAAACAACAGCAGCAATCCATGACCATTACTCTGGATTCGTAACAGATATCTGACAATAGAATACCTCCTGCTCTCATAAATGTGTTTTCCTCCCCTTTCAGAGGAGACAGACCATCTCTTTAGCGGTGTCAGTGTGCCCTGAAGACTTCTTGTTTCATTTCACCAGGTGGAGTCTTGAACACCATCACTAGGATTTTTGACCATGAATCTACTATGAGACCAGATCTCACACTTCCTGAAAGGCTCCCAATTTAAATCACTAGGATTTTATACATGTATAAAATACTAGTTTGGTGCCAGAGTGATCAGCATCTTACAGAAATCAATGCTGAGTGAGTATAGAGATTCATATTCCCTCTTTCCATATTACAGAATCATGTTTACCAGACAGTTACAAAGTCATTAGTGAAGCAATATGGTGACCTTATGGACACAGGTTAAATTATTTCTCTGTGCAGAGATGAGGTGTAAGGATTTTTCACCACTGAAATTCCGTTCTAGCTGTAGGCTAAGGGCTGCTTTCACTGGTGCGTTGTCTTCATGTTGACCTTTTGCACAGGCACACACTCCATCCAAAACCAGTACAAAGGTTAAAAACTTTGTCAGCTGTGGAAGAAGATGGCTGTAAAAGAGACTGTAGTGAAAGGGCAGGGGTTAGGCAAACACAGTAGAAACATATTTATACTTGTATGTATAGGAGAATATCAGGTCCATGTATGTGCTGTTGAAAGCAATATTTGTCCCAGAGATAGCCATCAAGATCTGCCTTTAACCGTCTCACCCCAGCAGAGGAAAAATGGTGGCTGGTTGATGCTCTGTATTTCATTAGTATCAGTTGCTGCTTGCTGGAAAAGAAGGGAAAAGAATAGGCTTCATTCTGTCACTTGGATGCAACCTGTTAGAGACCAGCTTTGATATGAGAAGATTTAATTCATCTACTGTTTGTTTAAATAGTATGCCGTGATTCTGCAGAGTAGATGTAGCAGTTAATTATGAGAAATGAAATTCACTTTCAGCTCTAAAGAAGGGATAAGAAAGTGGCTCTTCGGAGAGATTTGAGAATTGAGGTTCTATTTATATAATTAATGCAACGCAATTATCCTCCTCAAAAACCAGGGAACAGACAAACATTACCTTCAATTGCTCACTGGACACCCTCATTGTGCTATTTCATGTCCTGAAGAAAATAAAATGTATCCTGGAACACTAATCAGAGTCTGAATGCAGAATGCTTTGGATCACTTTGGCAATTTTTTTCAATAATTTGCATATCAAATTATGACTGCAGTTTTGGTAGTGAAAAAGAAGGATTGAGGATTTGTCTCCAGTCAGACATGTTGAGGAGACCTTTCTGTTAGGCAGGCCTTCTGTGGGCTTTCCCAAACATGTATCCCAGCTCAGAGAAGCTGCCCTGTTAGCTCAGAGCTATCATCGAGCCTGCTTGCACTGGATATGTCCCCATTCCTTCCTTGCACAAGCATTTCAGATGATAGGGAGTATTTCAAGGTTTTTTAGGTCTTTTACTTCTGAAATCTCTTAGGAGTGAACACTGAAGGAAGCACACGTATTTGAGGAAGGAATGGGGGGAAACTAGCAGAGGGGTTCCCAGCTTGCTTTTTGATGTGATTGCAGCCATATTAAGCTTTTTTCTAGTACTCCAAAATGCTGTGTAAGCAGTCCCTGCAAGTGAAGGCTGTATTGTTTCAAGAGAACAGCATAACCATTTTGACATACAGCTGTTATATTTCATTTGACCAGATGGAACAACCCTCTTTTAGTTTCAGAATATAGCTAATCTTAATATATTTTTCTAAGCAAGAAAAATTGCACCATAAATATTCAGGCATTACACTCGGAAAGCTGGAGAGGAAAGTTTTATCATCAACGTGCAAAACTGTATAATCATTTATCATCATTCTCCTTCCCAGCTGTGAAGAGTATGTCTTTTTTTAGTGTATACTGTCATATTCCAATGCTAGCTAAGTCTGTGTTTTGCTTTCGAATATGGATGATTCTGTTGGCAGCAGAGGGACTTTCTGTAGCTTTTATTCCAAAAACCTCCCTCCTGTAAACTTTGGTTTTCACCCCCTCTGCAGAGCTGCCTCCAGTCCCTACCCAGTCCTACCCCATGGACAACAGTGGGATTAGCAGTGACAGTGTCACTGAAGGATGGAGACTGTGAGTCACAGGTAAGAAAGCGAAAGAGAGAAAACATGGGTCTGAATACGGAGAGCTCAGCTGCTCACAGTACAATCATTGCCCCTTTACACCAGCGAGACAGCTACTGCACTCCCAGTCCAGAGAATTTGCTGTCACTGTAGAGGAGTAAAACTTAGAGGTCACAAGATGGCAGCATAAGCTTACTACTCAGGGTGACATTTAATTTTAATCATAATTTGAAGCATCAGGTCATTGTGGATCCTCTTAATCTTCCTCAACTCAACCTCCTGTTTCAAAAAAAGCTGAGACCTATGTCTAACTAACTGGTGCTCCCTGGGCTCTAAACTATTATGTATATTGGTGCAAAGCCTGTTACTTCACTTTTCAGCCTAACCCATTTAATTCAAATACAGTTGCACTGGTGCTAGTTGGTGTTGAAATAAATTTCCCACTGGATGTACAAGACTTTAAAAAATTACACCAGCATGTTATCTACCTAATCAATACAAAACATGTAATTTACGGAACTTTACAAAGCCTAAGCAACTGGGAGTTATGTTTTTTATGTTTTCCCTTCCTTTCTGCTCTTAAGAGCAAAGTGTTCTGAAGCCTACCTCAAATACATATTTCTTATTGAACATTAAAAAATGTTTATAGTACCACTGAGTGAATATGTAATCTGTAAAGAGTTTATTTAATATATTATTCTCTTTCTGCTTGTGGGATATGTATGATCTGTGTTCAGTTTTCATCTGCCCACTTGCCAGTCTCTCTCTCTGTGTGCCTTTCTCTAAGATATCTACCCATTCTTACCATTCTTCAGGAGCACTGCCTTTTGAATGTGCAGTACTTAATTTGGAAAAACTAACTGTGCTAGGGAGTGATGATTCATCACACCAGTCACCATATTATATAATGCAGAGTGATAACAACTTTAACAGAGAATATTTCTAGCAGCAGTTTTCCCACTTGTGAATTTAAATGCTCCCCTCAGGAATGACTGTAAAAATAAGTGGAGGTATCTGCATATCCTTGGAAGGCAAACAAACCATGACAACAAGGCAAGAATCTATCCATTTTTATAAATAATTGCAAACTTTTGTGGTGCTATTGCAAAAGTAAAGTGTAGCTAGCTAGGTGTTCTTTTTTGGGAAGCACGAGGAATCATAGATCTTGTTCTTGTAGTCATCTGCATCTACAAAGCTGAATATGACTTTTTGTGCATGTGCAAGCTGTGCTTAGGGATATTTATTTGCTGAGCTTACAGGTACATCTTTATTTGGCACTTTTGCAAACATTAATCTGTTGAATATCCTCTCAAATCCCACATGGTCATTGGCTGTGATTTTGTATACCTATTCAGATGGCCATGGCATTCTTCTCTCCTGATTTACATCCAGCAGTCAATGCCTTCCGAACACCCCTAAACTAGACGTAATAAAGCAAAAGAAAAATGAGAAAAGAAAAATTCTACACTGCCTTAGTGTGTAGTTTCCGGGGCTAAGCAGTTGGCCACATGGTGTCACTCTGTCTTAAGGTATCGAAACCTTTAGGAATAAAGCCTTTAGCAATTCTGTGTTTTCAAAGTATACCAGCCACCTAATGTTACCTAAGGAGATGGTTCAGCAAAAATGGCAAGATCACAGGTGCTTTGCTATTGGAATGTTTTAGGAAGTTATTTTATACAGTGTCTGTTTCCTGGCTCCTTTTATCTTCCTGGAATGCATGAGAATGTTTTTAGCCCAGAGGTGCTTGTTTTCCAGATGTTTGCATTTGGGAGTGTGCTTATATGGAAAGTTTTCTCTTAAAATGTAGTGTGAGACAGGGGCTTAAAAATTCAGTGGTGCTGGATTGTTCCTACCCTTCAGTCATAGTCCTCCTTCTCTTCTTCTTCTGTCTTTGTATATCTGAATGCAGAACATCCTTTGGCCCTGCTGACCAGAGGAAACGTGGCAGCTCCTGGGACCCACGGAGTGCTGTTTAATCCCTATTAGTTTGGACGAATGCTTTTCACAACACACCTGCTCAAGAGAGCTGTGCCAAAAGCTGATATATTAGGTGCTTGAGGAGTTTCATAATGTACAGCTATAGCAACAACTGAGAGAAACAGTTGTGTACAGATTCAGTATATGCCTTAGCCAAGAAAATGATTTATGGCTTAGAGAGTATTGCAACACTGCAAAATCTCATGTAGCACTAAGTTTTGATGTGCACTCTTTCTTCTATAACATGGTGACTGAACGTAGAGTATCAGGCTTTATGCTAACATGATAGTCTGCATAGGTTGGATTAAGATCTCACAGAGGAGATAAATAACTGACTCTGGCAGCGACTTACCACCCATGTGGAATGCAGGGTGCTTTGTTTTTATTGCCAGGACATCAGGCAGTCACAACCCTTCTTGTCAGTCACATGCTGTGCCTTGTCTGAAGTTTATGCTCTGGGTAGCTGCTGAGAATGACAGCGCTGTTCTAAGCTGCATGTTTCTCAAAGATGGTTTTGCCACTGATTTTTCTGGGGCCAGGAGTTCACCTATATTCTATGTATTTTGAGGCTGGTTATCGACCGTGGCCGTATCTTCAATTTAAATGCAGTGTCAAGCCACGTTCAAAGTCATTAGGTCTACAAAGCCTGGCTTTGGGAGCAATTTTGGTGCGTTGGTATGAATTAAAGAAATGGCTGTTGGAAAGATTCACATATTTTATGTAAGAAAGGACAAAAATGCTGTTTCAGGAAAAGCTTGTGTTTGTCTTATTGGAGTCTTCTGAAGGGAAATATCTACACTAGTCTGGAAACAACTGTGTTAGTCTGGCCTGGAACGTGACGTGAGATGAAGTGCTAAACAAAACGTGGACTGTCAGAGCTCACAGGCTAGAGGAGAGCAGAGATGCCCTGGGATATGCATCTCTCTTGAATGGACAGTACCGGCATACACTTTTGGGCTGCGGGGACGAGAATGCATTTGTCAGTAATACAGTGTTTCTTCTGCTTACTTGAAATGTGGTTAATGGCTTAGTGGTCTTTCAATAACGCTTGCTTAGGAACACTTACTTGGATATCATTTTAGCCTATGTTTTCTCCCCTTCCCCCCTCCCCTTTTCTTCTGTAATTATCGTAAGCAAAACAATACTCTGTTGACCTCTGTGCTGATGGTGGCCTCTAGGATGGGAGGTTCTGCAGAGGGTCGAACATGACCGTGGAAGAAGACCTTGAAGCAGGAAATAGTACTGAACAGTAATTCAGAAAAGCAGATGAGGTCTGCTGTGGGAGAAGGAAGTGCAGGCAAACTTAAGAGTAAATCAGGCTGTTTGTCCTTGTTCTGCGAATCTTGGAAATTGCTGCCCTCATTATCTATACACAAAACTGCTCTTGATAGTATGGGAGGGAGCTCTGTCATAACTATAATTATCCTAATAGCACTGCTGGCATGATGGTATATTAACTATAAACATGAAAGGCTGAAACCCACTGGCATAGATGAGATGCAAATGAAAGGCTGGTTCTTCTCCTATAGAAATATGAGTAAGTAGAAACTGCCTCAGGAAATCCCTCAAGTTTTGTCTCCAGGAACTCCCTTGAACATGTTTGCTCAGGGAAGAAGGATGTTAAGAAGGGGAAGGATATCTGTTTCCCATCTTTGTGATGTTATGAACCCTAGGCCCTGGAACTATGGCTCCTTCTGAGACAGCTCTTGTACGTTATTCTGTGCAATGAAATTTCTGAAAAGCTCTGTTACTCCGTATTTGTTGAAGGTACAGTATATTTGAGTCCCAAGGGCATTTGGTTTCTAACACCATTAAACTACAGAGTTTCTACTCCTTGAAATAATAGGAACAGCCTGGCCCTCCATGTGAACCTTTTCTATATAGCACACAGACTGTCATTGCTGCCTGCGGATATCAGAGTCAACTACAGACTCTTAATGCATGTCTATGATGCAAAGGAAGGCTTGATGCATGGAAGAAAAAGAGATTTTAGAGCTAAGAAGGCCAACCAAGATTATTTAGTCTGATCTACGCTGTGCATGCATTTCTCTCAGTAATTCCTGAATCAAGCTCCTAATGTCTGATTGAGCTACACATTAAAGACAATCATCCAGTCTTGATTTAAATTTAGCTATCTTGTGGGAGGGAAATGTGTTGAGGAGGCTGAGAAAAAAGTCAGAGGTCACAATGTGAAAGGAAGGTGTAGGAAGGAAAATACAGGTTGCAAGCAGAAATAGAATCTATTTCAGAAATAGAATCTATTGTTGTTTATGGTACTGTAGCACTGAGAAAAATCAACAGAAAAATGAGCCCCATTTTGCTAAATGCAATAAAAGTACCCAAATAAGCTGTAGATCTTGCTCAAAAAGACCCCTGCAGTCTAAATAGGTTACATGAGCACTAATGCAAACACCAACACAAATGAGAAAAAAGAAGTAAAAGGACCGGAGTCAAGCCTAAGAATAAAATGTGATATGTTTGTTTTTTATAGGGAGCTAGGAGGAGAGACTGGGTAAATGTTTTCTGACTATTCCTTCGTTTGTTGTTTAGTTGTGCACCAATTCATCGAACACTTACGCACCTAAGATGAGATTTTAACTGTGAATTATCCTATTAATGTCAGTTAGACTATTCATGAGAGGAATATGCGCATGAGAGGATCAAGGCTTTAGACTTTCTGAATGCATAAGATAACTAAATGGATAGTAGAAAAGGTGGTACTGTCTAATCACAAAAACTTAGAATAAATTATCAGTAGCTGCAGATCAGAAAGATGTCTCTGCATCTTTTTACAACTTGTTCCACTTTGGAACAGACAACTTTGAAATGTCAGAATTTTACCATAGATCAGTTTTTGGCTGGCTGAATTTTGAGTCTGGAGTGGTGAGGGACAGAGATGCATATTGTAAGAGATGAGGATTCTACTCAAGTGCTCAGCATCACCCACTTAGCAGTAAAAACCCAGAGATGCTCTGCCATGTATATGTTTTATGTTAAATACTGTCCTGACACAGATAGGCTGCATAATGGTGGTGCTTACACAT